CGGTTTAAAAATAAAAATAAAAAAGTAGGAAGTTACATACATTCAGAAGCAAGTTACTTACCACGCGCTCCCGTTGATAGAAGGTGGCCTTTAAGACGCCCATCTAGCACGAGACCGCGTGGCAGTTTTGAATAGCTTTTTGCGCGCAAGTTTTGTAAGAAATTGCAACAAAATATTGCGCTATTTTTTTATTGCGCTGATACTGCTCCATACTGATGTCTGGAGCCTATAATGGATGGTATTGTTTGTTTGCACATACAATGTCACTATTTTGTTGCAATTTCTTACAAAACTTGCGTGCAAAAAGCAAATCTAGTATGAAAATCATCAAACTTCTAATGCTCGTAACTCAGTTCAGACTGAGTTTAGAGGTATACATGTCATAGTAAGTTTGGTTTATTACACTATTTTGTAATCAAAAAACAAGGTTTGGTCGATGGCCGCGCGAAAAAAAAAAGACGCCAATTTCCGGCATTGTCTTTTAGATTTGATGCAACCCTACATCAATGCACGTTAAAATAAAATATTTACTTTGAAGCTACGCCTAGTAATTTTTTTTTAAATCGAAATTAAATGATGCGATTTGGGTATTCTGGTGAAATTACTAAAAAAGTTAATTTAAAAGTAGCCGCCTGGCATGGAACGTGTTATGGGGGCTGAAAATATAGGAAATGACCCATTCTATCCGCCAAATTATTTTGGCACACGATGCGCCAAACACCCTGTATATTGTGTCTAGTGTCTCGGCAGCGGCAGTCAATGACTTAAAACTAAGTTGACTTAATCATTTTTATCGATAGTGGCTGAATTGTTGCCACCATATTTTGAACTTTATTGACATAACATAAACCTGGTTCAAAACCAATGAAATATATTGTTCTCTATACTGGTTAAAGGGTTAAAGCTTTATAAATGCTGGATGTACCTTATCTTTGTTAGCTCCTTTGCAAAGGATCCTACATCAAACAAATGGATTGTAAAGAGAGACTACCAGGTATAGCACTTAACTAAGTACAAGTATGTTCTCGCGGTAGTGTAGTACTTCAGACATGTCTGCCGTGACAGCTCTGTTCACAGAACCGCTTCCTTGATACAGGGACCTGTTTATTAAGTGCTATACCTGTAATTCTGTACATTATAACTTTGCTAAGGCTAATTATTTAAGGATAAGTAAGGACTAAGAATGTTTATTAGGTTGGAAACTGGAGAGCATTGACATTACAAAGATTTACGGCTAGGACACTTTCTTACAGAATTTTAGTATCTATATATATGTTACAGGAAATGTATGAAATCCGTCATTGTATACAATTCCTAGGAATTGTGTATAAGTCCTAAAATCACCCGGAAATGTGTGATGTAAATTATATTAGACACATTTCCTAGGAAAATTACACATTTCCTAAACAGCAATCGGAAATGTAATTAAGATATTTTTTTTACACAAAATTATTTTTATTACGCCACTTTTTGTTCTCCGAAACTTAAATGGCGCTACCGCGCCGCGGCAGCTGTGTATGTGTACGGTCGCAAGTATAACCTAACCTAACCGAGACTTTGTTATCCAGCTACAGGAGTACTAAAACCTTCATGTCAATAATAGTTTAATAAAAGAGATGTTAAAATTAGGGATTTCCAATACTTCAGCGTAATATGCGTGATGCCGAAAGAAAGGTATGCCAATAAATTTTAGGCAAATATTTTTTTCGACCAAAGTATAATAGTGCGAAAACAACTGTCAACTGTAAACAATAATAATTGTGAGTTAAAAGTACCTATCGGCCAATGTGGTTTGGCTAAATGAAATTTTAGGCGTACCGAGGGACACCCGATCACGCGACCGCGCTTGTGCCGCTTAGTTTTATACATTTCCTAATACAATATTGGAATTCTATAAAATTCCTAGGAAAAGTATACATTTCCTAGGATATGTGCGTATTAAAAAATCTCTGAAGCAATATTTTATACATTTCCTAAATAGCTTCGGAATTGTATACATTTCCTAGGAATAGTATACAATTCCTAGAATTCATACATTTCCTGTAACATATATAAAAGAAAGTCGTGTTAGTTACTTCGCTTATAACTCAAGAACGGCTGAACCGATTTAGCTAAAAATTGTCAGGGAGGTAGTTTAGAGCCAGGAGAAGGACATAGGATACTTTTTATCCCGTTCGAAATTAAAAAAAAAAGTCTGCTTATTTATTGCCATTAAGGCGGAACAAAGTTCGCCGGGTCAGCTAGTTGTAAATAGTTAGTAGTTTTAAGGGTTACAAGGAAAACCTAAACCTTTATAAGACCTCTCCTCAAGAGTTTATTCTAAGAAACTACTTGATGGATTAACCTGAAATTTGGTATAGAGATGTAGGTAGTTTGTTGCCCTTATTAAAGGACGCGTCATGTAATAAGATTTTTACGTACTAAGTTAATTTTGCGGGTCTACTTGAAAATAAAATTTGTTCTCTTCACTGTGGTCGCCAATAACCTTAAAATTACGAACTGTTTTTTTTTATTTTGCTCTCCTACCCAAGTTTTTAGGTTCTAAAATATGCAATTGAAGATGCCACGAAAGTAAGCACGCATTAGACACATCCAAGTGAGAGTTTAATTCTGTTACCTATACATTTTTTTATTGTTTAACATGAAAATCATAGTAAATAATTATAAATATTTATACACAAATAGTTAGGTCTTATTAGTTAATTAACTGTATAATAAATACAAAAGTGTTAGTAGAGATGCAAAGTAAAACAATTTTACGTGAATTTAAAGCTCTTGAATGCATGAAAAGTTGTTTTTCGTAGCAAATTCGTTCTTTGTTTGGACAACAAACAACTCGAGTGCTACGAATTATTTCTCTACATCATAAAGCAACAGACAAAGGTTTTGAGTAAAGTTTTTACAACAAAAAAACAGAAGTAAACAAATTAAGTGCCAACAACAAGTGCTGCAAAATACTGGTTCTGAATAAATGGTTGGAACAATGGTGTAGCTACGTACTTTTAACTCTCTGACATTGCGAGTCCTAAGAATTCGAATTGGAGATACTTGTTTAGTTATACTCATATATTTTATAAATTGCAAACAAAGTATTCCTAAGAAAAACCTGTTTAAAACAAGTCATTAGCTTTGTACTGCTTTAACTTTTTTATTCCTAGGCTTAAAATTATTCCAGTTTTTCTTAAAAGTTAATGTTTCAAATTCACGCTGCTTTACAATGATAAATTCCAGTATGCTTTTTTAACAATTTATAAAATGGCTTTATGCAAAATAACAAATGTCAACTCCGGCCCACACAAAAGTAAGAGGTTTTTTCTTTATTTATGGCATCGTTTATAGCAGTCTGTTAGAAGCAAGGCACTTAAAATCAGTCCTATTTTCAACTGTATGACGTTCATGTTACTCGTAATTCATTCATTCATTCATATTATGCATTGAAGTAGTGCTCTATAACGGCTCTATACGTATACGTATTACAAGATTAATAGTTTAGATTTATGTAATTAGTTAGTAGTTACAATATTTTTATCACGTACCTAACTAGTACCTAATACTATTTGATTGATTGATAATTTGGTACACGTTTCTAATCGAAAACATAACTTGATTAATGGAAATTGTATTCCGAAAGGCTTCATGGTTAATTTTATCTGTGTTGCGGTCCCTTGAAGGTTGTTTTACAAAATTTATGTTTTGGTTTTAATCTACTTGCCTTTACAGCCTTGATAGAATGTTTTCTCACCTCAAGTCAAAGTTGATAAGGGTCAAAGGGAACACCTTTACCGCTTTACTTTTAGTCTTAGTTTGTAGGTACTATATATTTACTTTGCAGATTAGATACCTACATTCATTATTTACTTTGCATTCCGAAATCTCGGAAAACACTAAGTTAAATTTTATATCACAACATTTAGATATTTGATTCATTTTTAGCAAAAAATACATCAGGTATTTGAAGTACCTACCTACAGTACCTACTACAATCGGCTGAATTAAACACCATGGTTTGCTTATATTTTTTTCCATCCAATTATTTTTACTAGTTGACATTGTACAATCGTTAATTGTCTGTGAAAATATACAATTTTCTTTACTCGTAAAAGCTTCCAATGCAATTATATTTACTTACCCGTAACTTCCATAATCCACCCATAAAAATTGGGGTCGTCAAAACATCGTTACCTACATAATAAAGTAAGTCAATAAAATAAAGTTCATACACCACTAAATTTTAATCACCGAAAAAAAAAATCTGGGTAATGAGTTATTGATACTGATCCCATTTGTGCAAAAAAAAGAGTAAAATAAAGTGACTCAAAATATCCTCCTAAAATTGGTAATTTATTGACACACGCGTCGCTAGCACTATTTACGTACGATAATGTAACACTTATTAAAATTCAAAATGGTCTAAGTTAGCTAAGTATGTAATAATAACACTGGAACGTGGTCGAGGCGTGAGCGAGACAGACAGATCGATGCAACGTGCGAGCGCGTACGACTATTCTAGCGAGCAGCGGAGTGACTCAGCTGTGACGCGTAAAATACGGACTAAAGAAAATTTAATAATAAAATTAACTTTATTAAAAACATTTCTTTTTCTTTTGCTTTCAATTTTTCACACGTTTCTACATAACCTGTTAAAATTTTTTCGGTGATAAAAATTTAGTGGTGTATAACACATTTTATGTTTAATTGAATTGCAAATTCTCATAATAATATTATCTAGTGGTTAAATTTTTGCTTGAATAAACTTTCTAACAAATTGAATACATTTCAAAAACGTAGTTAAATTCTGTGAATAATTCTGTAATAATTTATTTTCATACTGGTCAGCGTCTGGATTAAGAATACTTATAAAATCACTTCAGTTTTTCAAATTTCTTTTATATTTTTCACCAATTCACTTAGTGGCAGATTTATAAGCATCATGTTCTCACCTTTGCGCAGATTGAATAAGGTTTAAAACGCATTGACTCAAATTATCTTTTGTTCACCAGCTCACCGAAGGATGCGGACGGTGACCAACTGTTTCCTGGTCAACCTGGCGGTGGCCGACCTCCTAATGGCCACGCTAAATGGAGCCCCCAACTTTGTATTCCTAGTGACTGCTCACTGGCCTTTCGGGGCTGCCACGTGTACCGCCAGCAACTTCACTGCGAACCTAACTGTGTCCGCTGGAGTGTTCACCTTGGTGGCTATTACCGTTGACAGGTAAGAAAGTTTGATTTTATAGATTAGCTAAATTGTTAAGGCATAATAGGGCCCGTAAAGTTCGAGTAGGTCCCTACCTAAGTATTATTTTAGAGCTATTAATGTCTCTATGTAGTTAGAGGCGATAATTGCCATGTGATTTAGACATTGGGCCGCTATTCTGAGACAGAAGTTCCATCCCGTAGACCGCTGGATTATTGTGGTAAAGCCACAACCATTTAACTGGGTTTCATTCAGTAGTATAGTCGTATGAAAGTCCGTAGAGGAGTTAACGGGAATAATTTGTAAACCACAAATAACTAAATCATAAATTATACAAGTAGCTTTTAGAATTTCATCTATAGCCCATACCGTCTTACTAAATTATAGACAGAAATTATTATGCAGGTATGTTTGTTACATCAAAAGAACAGTAACAGTAAGATGGTAACATAAAAATTAAGAATCTGGGAAATAGCTTGACAATACAGATGTATTTCTTGATATTGATCTCTGAGGATAGATTAAGGTCTACACCGTAAATAATGAAGCCCTATTCTGGATAACGATTTATACGCATACGAAACGAAGTCACGGTCTATAACAATATATTTATGTTTATCGTAGCGAAGTAATTTAACTGTCTGGCATTTTTCGTAGCTAATAAATTTTTTTGGGTTCGTTGACTGTTGTCCTGTGGTTACCTTACTGATTAGAACAAAATTAAATTCATTGAGGAAAATGAAGTGAGATATCAAATTACAGAGATATAAGGGCTAAAATATTTATTACTTTGGAGTCAGCTGAAACCTAATCACTAAAATAAATTATGTCTAACTTTTATTTTATTATGAACATTACAGCTATAAAATCTCAACATCCGAATATGACACAGACAAAAATTAAATATAAAACATAATTCTGCCGCACAATTTATAAACGCAGTAAGTACCACTTACTGCATTTATGATTGTTTTGAATATTCTGAATCCTGACATCGCGATCTATAATAAATGGAGTCGTAAATTAGTTAGAATTACAATTTCAATCACAACTTAAAAGACACATACGAGTACCTATGTCTATTTACTTAACAACTTCACATAATTCCAACATACATACATAGGGGAGACCGGGGCTGAAAGTGCCGGGGGTAAATTGTTCCGATGCAAAATATCTCGACAACAGAAAGAATTAGATATGTGATCGTATTATTTCGTATAATGCCTATGTACAGTCGGCCACATGCGACAATTTACCCCCGGCACTTTCAACCCCGGTCTCCCCTACCTGTTGTTGTGTGGAATAAGCTTTTGAACAGGTATAACAGTTTAACTGACAGGCATAATGAAAACGGCAAATCTTCTTAAGTAACCATGATTTCACTGTAGGTACCTACTTAAATTAATCCAACCTCGGCGTTATTTGATTAAAGTAATAAAACAAAGGGATATTGTAACGGTCGAAATGGGAGATTTTACGGCCTATAAGGCTACCTGTCCCGCTTTTAACATAATATGATAATTAACAATGGCCACTTTTACATTTTTGTCCGCCCACTTAACTCTGTAAAGTGGTAAAACAATTACCTACTATAAAAATTCAATTTACAAAAGAATTTTCATCGATAATTTTATTCCCATGTTTCATGGAGGACTTTTAACAATTTATTCATAGAGTTGATTGCTGTAAGCTTTATGGTATATATTTTATGAAAACAATGTCAATAAGTAAATAACTTGTTTCATATTTATTAAACGCTATTTCCATTTTAACTGGGAACATTCTGTCATTGTTTCATCAAATGATGAAACGATAAATTTTATTAGATTTGATTGAATGAAAATGTAGCAAAATTGAATGTGAAATATTTCAAAGTGAATTTTTTTTGTAATCAGTTTATACCAAATGTTCGTACGCCTGTGTAGACATGAACAGTATTTATTGAGAGACGATGTGACATGAAAATAAAACATACCGTTTTTTTAACAAAACTTACCCCAAAACTAATAAATAGTTACGAAAACATCCCGCACGTAGGTTGCGTACAACATAAAACGGCAGCAGGTGCAACCCCTAAGGACCAGTCCCTACCCTAATAAACAAGTTTAGCTGGAACACTAACGAAACCAGTCAATGGCTTAATCTAAAATCCGGGGAATTCATAAAAATAAACAGTGGAAAGTTTTTCACGACGTCATTTTGAACATTGTCAGGTAAATATTGATTTATGATTTATTACCCACAATGTGGAGGCTCTTTTCATGCATTACACCCTAGTGATCATCAGGCTGAGGTGAAAGCGAAATCCTCAATTACAGAGGAACACACGGCTATCTTACCTCTAACTGCCGAAACACAACATTGTTGCAAGATGATGGTGTACAAAATTACGGTTAGGTTAACGTAATCGTTCATTGGGTTAGCGAGACATTTAATTAAATTAACAATGACTCAATATTTAGAACCGTTATTCATTTAGTTCTAGTTTATAATAGAGTCTATTCATGTCAAAAACAAATAAGTAACACAATATGACTGAGGGTTGGCAAATATATTATTTAAAGGTATCGTAGTCCTGAAATTCATATCTTAATCTTCATAATTTCTACGGAAAACGTAATGTCATAGGTATATTCTTATAAGATATAGTATACTTGTATCGTGGGTTAACAAATAGAAGAGTTGTACGTCATCGGATTCCTTTTTTATTTACAATCATGCAATGCAAACATCGGAAGGGTCGGATTTATTTAAACGTGGTTCTATCTGCCCGTTCAAATATTTGATCGAACTCTCAGAATAAATAATGGACTTCACCGAGTCATTGGTTACCGTGTTTACATGGACATGACAGGTTTATGGCTGGAGGTTACGGTGAATTTAATGATTTTTGTGTAGCATTATCACCATTAAAGTTTCATGATCATATCATGTTCGATGACGAGCTTCACTAAAAGCACCTTCTTGGAAAATGACCTTTATACGGCTTACGTCAGTACTATACAAACAAAGTTGTAAAAGGCAGTTATTATGAAACGTTTTATTTGTCGATCTTCACAAGTCACGAGTCCAATATTGAATAAACTTTACCTAGTTAAATTGAAGTTTGCTTTTAGTGCAATGCCTTCTTCGAATTATTTGGATTGAAGATTGGACCACCACTCAAGACGTAGGTACTTTTCATGAGTTGTCATTATCTAAAGCGAATCCTCCGCCGATTTTGAATAGATAAAGGAAACTTTGACGTCATACTTGGCAAACCCATCTTTATGGACTAACAATTTACAGATTTGGAAGCAACTTCAAATCTAATTTTACAGTTAATTGAAGTTCGTGGTTTTTTTCAAAGGGCTAAATGAAGTGTTTTAATTTAGTCAACGGACTCAACAATACAATTTAAAAATTCTAGGAAATTGCCATGCTGAGAAAGGGATATAATGTCGGTTAAAGCCAATTTTATGGCGCTAGTAAAACTTAACGCACGATTATTTGGCACTGATACTAAAGCGTAAATAACGCTTTACGACTCGATTTATTTCACTGTTTGCTGAATGATATGATCAAACAGTAAGAGTACGGCTTGCACAGTAGTCGTCATCAAACAAACTTCTTTAGCATATAATACAACTACCTACATAAATAGGTACTACAGTGTTTAGGTTTGAGTTGTTTGTATCTCACATCAAGTTTCGGGTTGAAGAACATAAAAGTTTTAAAATATATTTTCAAACTTATTAATGTCAGTCAGGCCATGGGTAAAGTGTCACTTAAGTAGGCACTAATTTTATTTAGATTTCCTTTTGTAATTAAAAGCAGCAAACGACAATTTAAATGTCTTTTCCCATCGCAGTTCTTATGAAGTGTCTGTCGTAAGCAGTTGGGACCCACTTTTCATGAATGTTAAATGAGATGGTCTGGGTAATAAATAGGTAGAATATATCCCTGAAACATAAATCTTGAAAAGGTTTTACCGAGTTGGAAATGCAAAATTTCACAATCGTTATTTATTGTTATTGTAAATTGTAACGACAGTAACATTTTTTTACACACAACGGCGAAGCTTTTTCTCGTAATGGAAAGTGATGATCAGATCGAGGGTATGGGCTATCATTACCCCAACACAACGGCCCTCAATGCTCTTAACTCTTAACATATTGGCGTCACTAATACTTAGTTCTTTAAATAACATCATTCGTATTCAATCATAACAGGAAGGTACAAAAATATTGATGGTTGTAGTAAAAGCAAACAAGTTGCTACGAATGTCAATATTTCTGAAAGTCAGCGGAGTTCCACGTGGAAATAACGTAAACACTTCCAGGTTTATTATCATTTGAATATATCGTTGACTAACAAGTCTGAAATTACTTCAGTACGGTATTACTTCAGATTTATGGTAAAACTTCCCCCTCTTTTTCTATAGGTACCTAGTACAACCGCGAACACGACACGCTTATTATAAAGTCGTGGATCAAGCTTCCCAACAGATTGTTTGAGGTTCGTACTGTGTGCGAGGAATGTAATAAGCTGTCGTATAAACTTTAGTGATGGGAATATGCAGTTCTTTCAAATAGACATTCAAATGATTGGATATCGGGGAAGCCCATTCAAATCACTTTGATGATTAACAAAAACTTTCGGCCTAAAAGCGCACAGTCAAATATTTTATCATACAAAATGTAATCAATGTGAAAGTTTGTGAAGTAATATTAATGTTTCGCATAATCTTCTGACCTGATTCAGATGAAAATATATTTTGAGACCCAGGGAAAATACCAGTTTTTGGAAATCCAATATGCGCGTTATAAAAGACCTTAAGTGACAAACTGAAATTCAGGCAGGCGAAGCCGCTGCTGAAAAGCTAGATTAATAAATGAAAATATTTTTTTGATAAAATTACTTGACATACTATAAGTCATTTTGTAAACATAGGTAATTCCAGTTTAATAATAAAATGCTAATTGTTCCATTTAAATAAATAAGATACGAGTAAAGCCCTAGATTATGGAAAATAATGAGGTTACAGCATAACTCAATGCGGCTGGATCATTTACGAACAAATCGTTTGAATAATGAGACCGTAATTTGAATAAAGGCTTTTGAGTCAACTTGTTATTCGAATAAATATCCGATATTTTCTAAAGTATGCCCCAACACTAATAAGAGGGCTTTACAGGAAGAACATTAATCGAGTATTACTTAAGATGAATTTCCAAGTTATTAAGATGATATGAATTCAAATGAGCAAACCCATCGTTTAGATTTTTATCACCTGTGATACCTGTACGTACCTGTACTAATACCTACTGTTTCGAACGCTGGTGGAGTTGAAAAGAAAGGAAAAATTAAGTGTTAGGTTTCGGATTGATTAATTTTACAAAGCTCAGGTCAATAAAAACATTGATGCAAATAAACTATAGTTGAATTACTTCAATTCCTATTTTCATTTCGTTTTAACTGACCTTTTGAAGTTAGGAATCGATTTAACAACATCATAGTCTCGATTCGACGTCCGAATTGAAATCAAACTTTCAATTACGGTACGTAAGCATTGTCCAAACTGAAACTGGATGAAATGAATCATCCACGGACATGTCCATACGGGGCTTGGTGTGAAGATTTAAGTCACACAATATGATGGATGGTGGCTACTTTAAACAAAATTTATATCCATCTAGGACGCTGCGTTATACCTAGTTGTTGCAATTTTATTCACGAAGGCGATGGAGCTTTACACGTGTGGTGGCTCGCTACTGTTCGTTTACAAAAATTTTGTCAGAAATTACACTATCGTTACGTGCATGTACACGTACACATACAAGTAAAGCTCACTCACCTTGGTACTTATACCTGAACTACTTAGAATTTACCTACCTACCTACTTAGAACTTATACCTCAACAATTTAATTTTCTTTCATGCTAGACTCGAAGTGTGGAGTGGACTGTGCTTCGAAATTAGTTAAAAGTTATATTTGGAAATTATACTAGAAATGGTCAAATTATGACTATCTTTAGTTGACTCTGTACTGCAGAAGCAGCGCGATCACTTTCATGATCGATTCATACAGTACCAGTAATGTTACATGTCCAATTATGGAGCTAGTTGCCTAACCCATGAACGTTTTACTGTCCCCCAAATACCTATTGTGGAGTATTTTTAATTTTGTAGAGATCGAGTATTTAAATTTTAACATTGCTTCTCCTATTTTTAGAGTATTTGTAGATATCGAGTATTTAAATACTAACATTGAATCTCTTTCCTGGCGGTTTAGCAAATACGGTTTTGTGGCGAATATAATTACAACAATATGAGTTACTGAATTACTTACTTTGTACGTATTATAAACCATTTTCAGCTGTATACAAAGCCGTATCGGTAAACCACAAAGCGTAAACGAGTCGCTACCCACCTACGCTACACCAACAAAATAAATACTACCTACCATTAATACTACCTACCATAAAAACCATTCTGAAAAGAAACATCATGTACTATCACATAGACAAATGTGCCACTATATACTACCTACACCTACTCAAGGCTCCGTTGCCCGTTTTTATCAGGAACTGTTTTTTTGCAGATTCCCCTTTAATCTTTACACGAACATCTCGTTTGCAGTGTCCTACAAAAACCGAACCGTTCGAATTTAGAATTCGAATTTTAAATTCACCCTCCTTTCTGTACTGGATCCCGTAAAACTGGATTGCCATGGGTCATGCCCCATTACGTCCTGCATTAAACTCTACGCGAGTCTGAACGCGCCCTCGTGTTATGAATTGACGTCCCGAATGCCATTTACAACTACGTCCGGATATAGACTCCAACTCCATGGCGTACAAATTAACAGCCAGCAAAGGGCGAAAGTAATTAAACTTTTCAAAGGGACCCAAATTACTCCAATATGAAATATTTATTTATAAAAAGATAATATTCCCATCATGTTGAACGAGTTTTCCGCGTTCCTGTGCTTAGATTCATCATCATCATCATCATCATGTCAGCCATAGGACGTCCAGTGCTGAACATAGGCCTCCCCTAATGCTTTCCACGTTGATCGATTGGTAGCGGCCTGCGTCCAGCGCTTCCCTGCTACCTTTACGATGTCGTCGGTCCACCTTGTAGGTTAGATAGATGCTTAGATTGTCAGTCTTAAATTTAAAATAAAGAAATAGAGAATGCTTAGATGAAATAAAAAAAAACATGTATTGGGACTCTATAGGTATAGAGTCCCAAGTCACTTCGTCGATTAACCTATAGCGCTTACCTAAGTCAGTGACTGAGGTATAGGAGCGGCACACCAGTGATGACAATGACGTATTATGACGTAACAGAGCATACAAATCTGAAGGAGATCCGTCGCAAAAACACCCTGCCGTGCCGCCATACATTTTTCCTAATAAATAAATAATGTAATTATTTTCTACTTTTTAGTGCACGTTTTTTGGAGTCAGTTTTAATTTTTTTGTTATAATTAATCGTAAATTGGAAGTAATTAACACACTCAACTACTACCAAATTATCACTATCCAAATATAAGTTAGCAGTCACAAAGGGCTGTTGTAAATCAACTAGTGACTCACGATGAATGAAAATAGGGTTAGGCGATTATAGAATGAATAATTAAATAGCCTATTAGTGTATGACATTTCCTATTTCACGGTAGTAAATTGAATTACCCAAATCAATATACGTTTTTTTGTCGGCCGTTTGGTGTAGTGGTTCGAAACGGACTACTATTCCGGAGGTAGCGGGTTCGATTCCCGCACAGTACAAACATTTGTGTGCATGAACATATTATTTGTTTGTATTGGACTGGGTGTTTTCTATGTATAATAAGTATGTATTTACAAAAAAAAGTATATAAGTATGTTAATATTCGTTGTCTAGTACAAGCTTTGCTTAGTTTGGGACTAGAAGCGCAGTGTAAAATGTCCAAGGATATTTTTTTATTTATTATTATTATTATGTACTTTTGAGGAAGAAAATACTTTCTTTTGTTGTGATTTAAGAAGTACCCTTTTTGTTAAAAATATTTGGCCGATCTCCAATATTTTGAACACTGAAAAGGAATGAAGCTTTTGCAATAACAAACAAATAGACAAAACAAAGATTTATATCCCGCTAAAAAGTGGTCGTACATGAAATATGAGACTTTTATTTTTGGCTTTACATTCACGTTTTTATGGTCGAAGTTCAGGTAAATTGTCCATGAAATTCGTTGGACGTACACATTTTTATTTTACAGTAACAATAAAGTCTGAAAATAGATTGACATTTTTATCTGAAAGTGATGAAAGTTGGGCTAGACATTTTGTTTTGCTTCCAACTGCTAGTCTAACTTTTACAACAGCAATGTTGCTGTTTAGAAAATATAATTCTGTAGACAAGAATTTTTCAAATCAAAGATAGAAGTTAAAATCATTTCAAGTACTTAGGTATTTTTTTTTTACTTAGATTTACGTATTGTTACTATAATTGAACTTTGAAATATACCACTAGCTCATAAATTCATGCACAGTCGTGAAATGCAAATCACACAAACTTTTGGCCCTTGTGAGATTCAAAATCACGACCGCTGGCTTTGTGTTCCGAGGACCAATTAATCAAATGCCAAGACCAGAAGTTCGCGATAGCCATCCTTGAATTTCGATATTAAACCTAAAATTCGTATTTGATTTAGATTACCAAACAAAAAGTTTTAGGCTCAATGTGTATTAAAACTACACAGGCCGCACACAGCCGCCTCCTTGGTCGCGCGATACTGGCCAGCAAGAAAACAACATTCTTTTTTCATCGACGAATATCTGTTTTCTTTTGTTTTTTCTCGCTCTCGATTCTTGAATTTTCACGCATATTTGGTTTTGCCCCCTAAATCGAATTCAAATACTTTAATTCTACAACTACTACGAAGGACGTAACAAAAGATTTAGGCCAATCGAGCCACTGCAATGTGATTTAAGTCCTATTTTGTGAATTTAGTAAGTATAAAATAGTGTAAAAACTTGCCAAGTTGTAGTGTACTAAACTGTGTGTAGTTTCTACAAAATAGTGTAGGGTTCCAAATATTGGAAAAACTAAATAGGCAGGTGTTTTCAGTCGTTTCCAGTTCTAGATAAAGAAACTGTACCTACTCGTAGGTAAGCCTACCAAACTATTATTGTTATTAAGACCAAAATAAATTGTTTTTTATCCAGGTACGTGGCGATAGTGAAGCCGCTACAGCACCGGCTGAGCAGACGCGTGGCCCGTGCAGCGCTGTTCACAGTCTGGTGCGCCAGCGCACTACTCGCGTTACCCAGCTTGCTGTACTCAGACACGTACAAAAAACAGTAAGTTATAGAACCAATTACCTCATTTGAAACTTTCTCGTTCCATTTTAACTAAAATAGTAAGACTGACACAAGCTGCTTGTGACCACGGCTGCAGCATAGCAGCCGAAATGTAACTCATTAATAAACGTCGCGTTAAGACCCATGTCTTACTATTTTAATATACTTCATCATCATCATCATGTCATTAATTGTAGTCTCCACTGCAGCAAGACGTCCCTCTCTAATTTATCAAAAGCAAATGAAGGGTTTGGCCTTACTTATCTTCCCACACTGACCAGCAATTATTGTAAACCACCTTGTGTGCTTTTAACGGCCATGCTACTGCTCTACGGCCTCTTATGTTAAGGCTGAGTTGCACCACCTAACTTTAACCGTAACTATAACGATAACCAATAACGAGCGAACGCGATGGAGGACTGTTGTGGACGCCCTCTCTATCTAGGCGACATAGGACCTTAAGTCAAGTAAGTCATAACGATAACTGGTGTTTTTGTATGGAGTTTGACAGATTTTTGACGTTTGATAAAGTTAAAAAAGATGGTGCAATCCAGCCTTAGTTTGCAAGAATGTGGTCTCGACTCGGATTCGGACAGATATGATGAGCTTAGTGCCAGTGAATATTCTTTGCCTTTCCGATAACATAATTCATAGGAGTAGGTATCTGGTATAACCAATAAAGTCATGATTACCTTTTTTAATAATAAAAAGAGTACTTTTTCAATAAGTTACAACGCAATCACATAAAATTAGAATAACTTGATAATACTATTGAACTTTTGAAACAATAAAACGATTGCTTTCAGTTAATTAATCGATTTTCAATTTAACTTCCGAGCCCTTTAAAATTGTTCCGGCCACACCGGCATTGAAAACCACATCTACTCGTTTTATGAGTTATAATTTAATCGATAATTTAAATTTACTTTCTAGTGGATAATTGAAAAACGATTTCATATGAATTTTCATTATAACTAAGTAAGTTTTAGTCGGTATTTTTGTGTAATTTTAATTTCGGTATTTGGGTGAATTTCAACAAGTGCATATTTTTGCCTAATTTTGGTGGAAATTGTTATTTGTGTATTTTTATTCTTTAATTATAGATCAAATTTATTGGAAACTTATACTGTTTCTAAAATGATTAAGACATTAAATTTTGTCCAGTAGTTTTTTAGATTTTCCTTACACCAAAATTAAGAGAACACCAAAATTTATATTAAAGCACCAAAATTAGAAAATATGCTGTCAGTCGGTCATATCTTAGTGCCAAGCTCAAGAAATGGTTTTAAATTTACCAGCACCGACTCCAAAAATATTAATCATGGTATATTGTCCTAATAAATAAATAACGACGTACTTATTTTCTACTTTTAAGTGATTGTTGGCGTCGGTTTTAATTTTTTTGTTAAAATTATTTTTTTTCATGCTTTTTAGTTGATTAGTCCTTGTTATTGTCACTGAAGAGGGACAGTACCTATGTTTAATGTGATTAAGACTATAATTTTCCATTTTGTAATGGAAAATTATAGTCTTAATCACAATCCAAGTGTAAATAATCTTCCTAGCAAAATACAGGCTCCCTACTTTAAATATCGGCAACTAAAAAGTATCAATGTATCATGTGTCAATGTATGTATCAACAAATGAGTATTGAGTATCATCTAACTCCTAACTTATGTTGTTTGACCTTTCATCATCAGCTCATCTTAAATACCTGAAATAATACAACTGTATGTACATACCTACCTAAAATATTTAAAGAATTATCCTCCAACTCCTAAGCGTTAAGGAGTTTTACCTTCCATCATCACCTCATCAACATTAGATGATGACTACTTGAATAACTTTAGAAAACGTATTGCATTCCTACAAAATTTGAGGTTTACTCTCGATTTCCCTAGGATCCCATCATCAGATCCTGACTTGGTGACAATGGGACCACCACATAAGTGTACCCTATAGAACAAAAAAAGAATTTTGAAAATCGGTTCACAATTGACGGAGTTAAGTCGGTTAAAAATGCTTTGGTGCACCACCAAAAACACCAAAATTGACTCACCAAAATTAGATTCTCGTTGAAAAAGCTAAATTACATGAAATCTGTTTTAAATATAACAATAACATTTTAACACATGGTATGAAAACAGTTCCTTTACAATATACGAGGAATTCAACTAAAATGAATAGCTTAGAAATCTTATACAAAAAGACACCAAAATTGCAGAATTGTTGTCCGTTTAAAAAAAAACGACACATTTACGTTTTTGGCGGGAAGACGCAGAGGTCTTGCACCCGTCTGCCGTCACTGCTCGCGGGGGCGGTACTAAACCTAACGAATGATGGGAGTGTTTAAATCCTGTTTGATCTTTAAAGAAACTGACGAGCTATTTCATTATTGACACCAAAATCATAAATTTTTCGCGGACAAAACTTAAGGACGTGACTTAATCACAGTTATTTGGGAAACTTGCTTAATTTGGTAATCTTAGATAATAGATAGATTGTATAATCCAAAAATATACTTTTTCCCTAAGTTCTGTTTTGATTTTCAGCTAAAAAAATACATATTGTAAGAAATTAAGGATGTGGACACTGCACCAAAATTAGAAACGCTTAGTTCAATTATTTTTTGTCGAATTTGTAAAAGAAAGTACTCATTAATAATGTTGTCCTCAAAATGGAACCTGTGCATACTTTCGTGTAAAAAAAAATCAAAGTTCTATGTCATAAAAAACATATGATTTTCAGCTACGCCGCTCAAAAAATGTGTTTGGGAAATTGACCCATTTGCAAAATTTCTTTAAAGCGATTGATAGAAATATTAATGAGTAGGAATATGATAAGTTATCCAATAATTTTATAATACAACTTTTCTATTACCGAAAGTAACATTATTATCACTTTAGTATAAGGTGTTAATGAAACATTAAAAAACTGCCTTGCGAAATAACACGACCAAGAGTTAACCAATTACAAAAACAGCATGACTCAAGTTTTGTTTTAATAAGACAGATCAAACGCTAATCTCATTAGTCTTGACATTTATAAAAAGTCCAAAGAAAGTAATCAAGCCGGTCATTATATCGGGTGACTGACAATTTGTATAAAAGTATTTATTTTTTCTTGGAAGGTTGTTAGAAGTTTTAATTTAATTGCTTCGGCGCCTCACAACCGAAAGTTGAGTGACATCACGGCGAAATTACGATAGCGTCAGTGCAAGCAATGTTAAGGCGCTTGACAGCGAGATTGTTATCAAACATCAGATTACGTTCCTGCCAGTTTGCATAGCTTATGTCATTTATTTATGTCACTCCAACTTAATAAAAAAATATAAAAAGACAAAAGAGAACGCTGGCCAGTACCGACTTACTCATCGAAAACCAGAGAAAAAAGATTTGCTAACAAACGGCTAGTTCGAATTTAATTTTTTTAAGATGCTTTATTTGTTCAAAGGTACATTAATGGGGAACGAGAAATATGCTTCATCAAGTGGCCTGACGGAAGCTATCCTACATCAAGAGCTGACTACATGTAAGTATGACTCTCTACCATGTATAGTTTAAACCCAATTTTTGAACCCACAATAGATTACAACTACGCTCAAAAATATATTAGATTCAGACACAAACATAGATTCAACCCTCAGTGGTGTAATTTTCAGTGAGCCCACATTTAGTTCAACAAAAATATTTTGAACGTGTAATAAATATTAAGGAAGTAACTTGTTCCGCGATCATGAATAGGTACCATAAATATGCACATAATGAACAGTTTGTTTGATGTTTTCAGAACTACGATAAAATGTGCTCGTACCTACATGATATTGTGTTACTCGAAGCAGTAACTTTGGGTTTACTTACAAGGAAGATTTTAAGATTATCGTATTTCTTATTATTTTTTCTAAGTAAGTAGCTTTTCTTGTAACGTTACAACAAAATAATTTTGTCGATATGGAGTTACTTATGGTATTTATTTGTATAATCGTAATCTTAATCTTATTTATTTATTTAAAACAAATTTGATACAAAAGCTTCAAGTAACAGCTCTTCTGAAGGCTTAAAATTTTTTTTCGGGCACAAATGTAACAAAGTTATTTTCATTCGAAAAAATAATCTCATTCAACTTGGTTCAGCGTGGTTTCTAGCCGCAACGTCCACCTTAGCTCTCAAATAATCCCAAACGAAATTAAAACCGCACGGCACTCACACAGCAACATGCCCGTAACATGTTAACCCGTTCGCAGCTACAATCTCGTGTTCCTGGCGGTGACGTACGTGGCCCCGATGGCGGTGATGGTGTGGGCTTACGCGCGGATGAGCGCGGCGCTGCGCGGAAGGGCCATTGGGGAGTGCACACACCATCAAATGCAGGTCGTCCGGGCTAAAAGAAAGGTCAGTGTAATGCTTGCTTAATAAACAACCTTCGTAGTTTGCCATTTTTGAGGATTATTATTACTGACAGGATCGCTACCATGTACCTTAATTTTTAGTTTCCGATATTTCGGCACAGTTGGAATCCCGTCAGTAATAATAATTATGTTAGTGACCATGAAAGTTTAAAACAATATATTTTTGAGGACTGTTCCAAACTAAAGAAGAAGCTGAACTTATTGGTGGCCAGTTTAAAACTGTTATTTTTTTTGGAATGGGACTGTTTACATGAGAAGATAGAGTTTTGTTAGAAAAATATTTTAAAATGTTAATCTGGAAATGGATGAAAATTCAACCCTGAAATGAAGATAACTTAAATATCTTCAAGCGGAAAAATATTACGTAGTAAGATAAGGGCTATTGGGGAGAGCACACACCATCAAATGCAGGTCGTTCGGGCTACACGAAAGGTCAGTGGACTAGTTTATAAACAACCTTCGCAGTTTTGCATTTCTAAGGCGTGTAAACTTTGAAACTGTGGAAGAAGCTGCACTTAACTAGGACACAAGGATAGTAACCCGTTTTAAAACGGATATTTCTTATATCTTGGACTACTACTTACGTAAGAAGATAAGTGTTGTTTAAAATTAATAGATTTTTAAATAACTAAGGCTGGGTTGCACCATCTTATTTGAACTTTGACAAACGTCAAAAATCTGTCAAACTCCATACAAAAGACATCGGTTATCGTCATAGTTACTGTTAAAGTTGGGTGGTGCAACTTAGCCTTAAACTTTCAAAATTACTGTATTCTCTCGTAGCAAATTTTAAACCGCACTAATTACTTACAGACCGACGTAACTAATTAATTAACATTTAATTACTAATAAGGTCACGTTTTACTAGTGTTCGATATTAACTAAAATTAGTAACATAGTGACAAATTAATGTAGTCCAAACATCACATACATTTACATAACGTGTTTACTTATTGTTTGTTATTTGAAGTTGTACGAAATACCTTATTTTTATTACGAAAATTGGGCCCCTGATGGCGTAAATTACATATTAGACTGATAAAAATACTATGTAAATATATCTCCATTCTTGGGACCTTTAGCGCCACAAAGGATCATTCTAACGAAAAAATACACATGTCAATAAACTTCCTTTTTTGTGCCTTTGTTCCAATTTGTTTCTATCCGAGAGACTCTTATTGTCTAGGGATGTTTATTTCTCTCTAATAATGCTTAATAAAGAGACTAAACAGGTCCTTAGATCTGAAATCTTCATAAGCTACAGAAATATTTAAATTGAAATATTTTAGGAACAATTCAAACACCACGTGTAAGTTTTTGTAATGTCACGTCTTCTCAGCTCCAACTGATATGTTGTTCCTATGTGATGGTAGAGCAAGCTATATTTGAGAAGTACCTATCTTTATAAGTGCCCATGAAAGGGCCTACATACTATAAAAGAATATGAATGTTTCAAATAGAGATAAAGTGACAGTGTTCGGTATGAGGCATACTCGTAGACTTATAGGCAAATTGCTCAGCGAGCTATGGAACTAGTTTTGCTCGGAGTCTATTGTGATCTGTTACCCGGAAAACTACATCGTAACCGATAAAGTGGGTATGTTGAAGCTGAAGTGTGAAAGTCGATAAACTATGAGTAAAGAGAGAGGGAGAGCTCTTGAGGAGGACAACCTTATTTGCTACCCGAATCCTCACCAGTTGAATGACAGCTGCTTTTTTGCTGCATGAGTATCATCTACAGCTCATTTGATGTAGGTACATCTACAGCACATAAAATATCTATCTTGTGGAAGAAGTCGCAGAAGTAGCAAAAATAATAAATAATATGTAGGTAAGATGCGAAAAGTTATGACTACTCGTACTGCTATTATTTAATGACTAGTTCTCTGATGTCACAAAGATAAAATTAATTAACAGCCAAAAATATTTGAATATTTTAAAACTTACTCACCTTTTAAGAGCGTTTACGCCGTTTGGCGCAAAAACAGTACTTTTTCAACTCGTTACAATCATTAACCAGTAATACTACAAATATGTTATAGGCATAAATAGTTAGGCAATTTTGTCGTCTAAATAGTTAATTGAGAAAATATTGCGATTAGTTTAGTGTTTAAGAATTCTATCAAGATAAGTCCACACAGGTTTTGTAAATTTCCACTTTGGCGTCAGTTTACAAGCTGAAATTTTTATAAAAATACTGTGAAAACGATTTAACAAACATTTATANTTTCAGCTTTTGCTAGAGAACGCATGAAGCGTACAGGTACGGAATGAACCCGCTCGCTTTCGGAAACAATATCTACATTAGTATAAAATATATACCGAGACAAATAATCTTATGGTATAGTGTGCTTACTTTCTGTGCAAGTGTTCTTTCACAGAAAGAAGCAGTGGAAAGGGGGAGCGAGAGGCCTCAGCCGACACTCTGGTTATCCGCCGCCGACACCCTGGGCGCAAGAGGACAGCTTATGGTCTCCAACTGTCCCTTCCTAACAGTCCTCGGTCACTAAACATGGAGGTGTCTGGTAGCGGCTAAGGACGAATGCTACAGGCAACACCCAAAGGCGATGTCCCGTGTTCCCTCATATCACTCATATGGATCATGGCAGAAACAGTCAGGTTTTTAGTGGATGTAGGGGCTACCCACCTTTTGGTAGGAAGAACCCCACATAACCCACTAGCTGCCCCCGCAGCTGGTGGGTATGAAATGTTATGCATTATCCGGATAAAAAAAGAATAGTAAACAGGAAAAGTTTCTTTTGAATAGAACCGATTTGAAAAAATCTCTCACCATTAAAATTCAAATTTTTTTCTGCTGAACATAGGCTGTATAAAATATTCTCAAAATAGTAAAAAACCTTTGATAATTTACTATTTGATAAAGAATTTACGTTTTAAATTATTGATTAGGACTAATGTATACCATTATTTATAATTATGGAGTCGGTGTTGGAAGATTTTATAGTTTCCTTGAGCTGTCACTTTACAGCCTGGCACACTTTTACGATGGTGGATCAAAGTATTTTGGTTTGACTATAGAGCGTGAGAACACGCACACAGTCATAATTATTTTAGTGTGAATAAAAATAGCATCGAAATTACCTAAACTTGACATGCCACGCTAGACGTAAACGCTCTTAACCTGTATCTAATTGCTTTACCTAATTTTCGCAGAACCTCGGAATGGATACTAATTTTATATTACACACTAGCTTTCCGCCCGCGGCTTCGCCCGCGTGGAATTTTGTCTGTCACAGAAAAACAATATCGCGCGCGTATTTACTCACCGTTTAGACCTACCCTGGACTACGACAAACATTTTAAAACCAAAATCAGCTCAATCGGCCCAGCCCTTCTCGAGTTATAATCAGACTAACGAACATCAATTCATTTTTATTTATATAGATTATGTAGGTTTCCATTGTCGATGTATCTCATTAAATTACAGATGATACAAAAGTCAAGTTGGTCAAGTAGAGCGAGAAATTGACATGTAAACAACTTGGATTCCCCAAACATGCCAAAATGACTTCTACTGTGCTATTATACGGCAAGTTGCACCATCCTACTTTAACTTTGACAAACGTCAAAAATCTGTCAAACTCCATGCAAAATCACCGGTTATTGTTACGGTTAAAATAAGGTGGTGCAACTCAGCCTAAGTATATTATAATGCTATGTGGGTGAAGGCTGGCAATTAGTCTGCTAAAGTCGTGTTAATTAGTAAGAGGCCCTTCTCTAAATGGCTCTTGATATAATAATAGATAAGCGAGTTGGTGTAATGTGAGCCAGAGCCACAGGCGATCGCACCAATATCAAGAAGTGGCACTTAAACCTCTGATATACAGCCGGTGTGAAGGATGTAGTATGAGTACGGTGTGAGAAGTAAGTAATAGCATATGTATTACGAAACTCAAATTTAAGTTCATTGTCAATCTTAATTAAATTCTGTCGTTCGGTAGAACAATGTCTTTTTAACTTACTGTGTGCACTGGGCATTTAAAGAGAAAAGGACAAACTCCTCAAAGAATTAGAATCTTCTTCTATGCAACTAACGCATTTTAATTAATGAAAAAGATAGCCATATCTTTTTCAGCTATCAGCAATTGAACTCCTACGCAATTTTCTGGGACGTGCTCGACTGAGGAGCGTGTAAAGTTTCAGAAAATTTAAACAGATATCTATTCCATTTTACAGAATTACAAATACAGATTGCTTTACAGAAATAAGTTTACTTGACTGATAATATCACACGTACTTTGGTGAAATGAAAATCCCTTCTCTGTAGTAAATCAAACCGTTATATCGTTATTTACAACCACAACTGCGAGTACCATTGTGAGAGGTATACGTTTGGATAACCCCTTAAATATTTCGGGCGAAGTCCAAAAGTTAGCTCTGTCATCCTATGTTATTATTAAGGTCTAAACGGTTAAATGATTAATGGTATCAGTGACAGCGGAATGTAACCCAACTAAAGGGACGACCACTGAAATAGGTACATCGTTATTTCCTCATTCTTTTTGGCGTTATCATGAGATTTTAATGAATAAAATAAGGAAGAAGGGCCTGAAATGCTCTTCAGTTATTCTAATTTGTATGCTTTGAAAAAGGATCTCAACCATAATTAAACTGTCGGTTCACTTTTACCCATTTAGGTATATCACGTATATTGACGTAAAGAAATAGATTTTAAACAATTATCATTATTTTAAGTGAAGTTTAAGCCGTTAGAGAACCAATATTAATTGGTCAATGTTTTATAAGCCCGTGAAGAAAACTAATAAAGTTGAAATAGTGCAGCTTACCTAATAGCATAAAATTACACATTTTCAGCTTCTTTAGAACAAAATAAAGATGGAAATATAAAAAAGCAATACAAAACCTGAAAGGAAAAAGCAGCCATTTCAAGCTTTTTGTAATGGTCATTGCCAGGGAAATATTAAACACACCAAAGGCGAAAAATGTTAAAGCATCGAATGA